CTAGTGTTTGCATTATGTGGCCGTTTGTTGTTTTTATGGGTTTATCCCATTTGCCTATTAAAATATATATATTGTTATTGAATATTTTTTTTCTAGAAGAGAAAAGCTTTACATTACTTTTTTGAACATAAAATGAAAAAGGAAAATGTGTGTAATTTTTCTGTTTTCTTTCCACATTTTCATTAATTATTTAATTTACTGGGTGGCTCTCATGCTTGCGAACTCAGGTCTTAATGAGAGTCTCCCAAATCCTTCAATTTCAATTTTCTTTTATACATTTTTGTAACTTTTTGTTGGATTGAATAAATTGATTTGGGATTGATTGAGATCCAGCAGGCTTCCAGTAGAGATTGTATCTTTTCTGCTAATGTCGGTGGCAGTTTACATGTTTGCAACCTGGCAATAAATTGTCGTACCCTTTTAAAATGTTGCAGGATTGTATGTTTTTAGACAGCTGTTTGTTTATCGCAAAGTTATTAGTGATATTAACAGATACGTTTTTTAGCTTTGGAAACCTATCAGGCTCAGTATCATTGCGTTAAGTATGACATATTTTTGGATTTTATCACATTTTTTAGAAATCACATGTATTATCTAGTTTGTTCATACATTCAATGTTCTGAGTACTCGAACTACTGTAAAACTCCTAAAAAAGTATATTGTTGTGCCTATCCTTCATTTTATTTACAATTTCTTGGCCAAAATCCTTCATACCTACATTGCTACATTAAAAAAATCTGAGTTTTATTAGTTCTTTTCAATCTTAACAGGCCTTTTGTTATCTAGGATAGTGGGCCTATCACGTCATACAGTACCCTCAGCTTCTTAGCATTTCTGCACGGTTGGTTTTCAATCTGTACTGCTAGTGCCGGTGATTCAATAGAGCATATTCTGCAGTAGTTAAAATTTTTCTATTCTTCTCACCATGTGGTGGCGTTAGAATAGCAAAATTAGCATTGGTTTGGAAGCACTGCTTCCAAGACTAGGTGCGCATGCTCCCCTTCTCACTGCTTCGGGCCTCCACTGCTTAATGGGTAGTTAGTATTGCCAGACATTTTAAAATCTCACTGATTAAAGTTAAAATAAATCTGCATACAGATGATCGGTATACAAGAAACTTGTGTAAATTAAATTGAGACTTCTTAAACGTAGGCCTACATGGAATAAGAAATCTTTGTAGAAGAAACTACAACCATGCAGGTATAAAAAGAAACATACTGTATCTAATCGAGTAAACGCCCCTTGTTGTTTATTATTGAGAAGGGTTTTAGAGAGGCATTTCAGGGGCGTTGTTAATTTTTTCTTTTGTGTAAAATGGATGTAAATAATTATCATTAAAATGTGTTATTGAATTGATCATTAATACTTATTGACCCCGACCAGCTTAAAATAATAGGCACTTTACACAAGAGGATGGGAGCTGTTTTAAAACTATTATTTTTTTGGTATCAAAATTATATGCCAGTATTTTTTTTTTACATAGAACAATAATCTATTGGAACGATCCATCCCAATCTCTAACTTCTCTTCCAGGCCTTGAGCAATTTATTTCCGCAATTCAACCCAATTACAAGTGATTACAAGCAAACACACAACCGCAACCCATGGCGGATGTGTGTTCCATTGTTGTCTTTCACATGAAGATGCTTAAAAAAGTTGAATTGAGGGAGCATGTTTGGTAATAGAAGCTCTGGGACTTTGAGGTTTCTCATCTTTCAAAAAATACTTTAATGTGGTGGGCACTTTCACTGATTCAGCACAGATTTCACTAGCGGCTTACATTATAATTAAGAAATCAGCATCCAAAATTAAACCACATTAACAGTTGTTTAAAGAAAACTACATAAACTTTGATGTTAACAAAACTACAGTACGATTAAATAACAGAGGTGAAAGGCAAGTAAACATAACAGCAGACAATGTAAGATTCTTATATGTTCTTTGATTGATTGGTTTTTTAACTTTTATTCATAGATGTGAAATTAACTCTTATGCGCAAAGAAGAGGACGATCAACCACATACAGAATATGTTCTTGATTTGTCGGAAGAACTTGATGAATGTAAAGTCATTCTAACTTTAAAGGAAAACCCAAAAGATTTTGTTAGGAGCATTGTCTCCTATTATGCAGATCATGGTTTAGATTTAAAGGAAATTGTAGAAGAATCTGTAGTATTTCATCTGTCAACACATGATCCTGATTCTTTGATGCATCTATGGGAATTACATTCTAGCGGGACACTCATCGAAAATTTAGCAGAAATATTAGTCCCGGAGATACATCAGCAGGAATTCTTAGATGAATGGATGACGTACATAGATGAAAATGAATACGAAGCTGCACTCAGTAAGCTGAAAGAAGAAGGTGAGCATATCAATTATAGCCAATTGGGACTAAAAATTTAAAAATAACAGGTCTCCCTCCAATGAAAGACCCCTCTGATTAAGGACCACCTCCAATTATGGACCACTATTCTGTGGTCCCAATTTAACAAATTTCTTTTGTCTTTATTATTCTAATGAGATACCAAAGCTACTTAAGACCATGGAAACCCAAGTCCCAAAAGTGGTCTTTAATTGGAGGGAGACCTGTAATTTCTTTTCTAATAACAAATATGCTTGTTTCTTTGCCATATATATAGGCCAAAGAGACAGGTGTATTTGAAAGCAAAGGCAGGACAAAGAAATTTTCGCAATTAATTACTTCATATGTGTCATGTTTAAGCTCTTGCAGACCTATCCATGTTCATATGTGCTGTCACTTATTAACAACAGCAGTTTAATATCTACTCTTTAATTTTTTTGAGTAATCAGCATCTTTGCAACCATGAATTTGATACTTTATTTATTTTTGCCTCATTTCAGAAATAATGGAAACACTGCAACAATTTACCAAAGGTACATTTTATTGTTACTTAATACTTACACCAAGGCATTTAATTTGATTGATACTCTTGACGATTTGAAATACTACAGATTTAGTGGTGGATCAAAGCACTGACCAGGGATAGTTTTTTTTCCACACTCACCGATTCCTCTTCTCTAACTTTCAAAATTTACTATACAGCATTACCGCAAGATGGTTTAGGAGTTGGTCTCTATATTGTATTATGAATTATTTATGAATAAAAGTATCTTTTTGAAGATCCATCCTACCGCAAAAGTGCTGATAAGAAGAGGGTGTGTCTTATTGATCTCTGGTATTTGCCTTGCAATCAGAACTAATTTTGTTCAACTGTGCATGTGCGAAGTGCTTTCATCAGATTTGATTTCCAAATGACCCTCAATGGCCCAGTTGGTTCAGGCATTTGCATAGACAGCAGAAGGTCCCAAGTTCAAATTCTGGTTGAAGTTTTTAAAACTAATAGGGAAAAGTACTGTACAAGTTTTGTTTTTCGTGTTTGTTTTACTTTATACTTTTTAATTACTCTTTTTTGTTGCAACTTCACTTCTCATTATAGTAATGAGGAAAAGCCCTATGTTCTGTTGTTCAAACAGACATAGTAAGTGTAGTTATTATTATTATTATTATTTTTAATTCATTTTTTGTTGTATCTTTGTCACTGTTTTTATATTTCTTGTATGTGTCTGTAAGTGGTGATTTATTTTCATTGTGTTGGTTTAGATTTTTTTGTAAAATAAAAATATTTAACCAAAATTTTGAAAAATTAAAATTTTTGATATAATAAAAATATTTAACCATTGAAAAATTCACCAGCATTAATATTTGTATTAGTATTTATTTGTGACGTATTTGTTACTGTATGGATGATGCTAACAAAAAAAGAGTGAGAAAAATTTGAGTTAAAAAGAGGACAAAGGAGTGTACCCATGAGTTCAGTGGCGATCCAGCAGCGGGGTGAAAGGAGAGCTTGATTATTTGCCACTTATTTATACCAACCATGGTAAAGCTGAGGTGGGCGTGGCAGCAAGACTCTTCATATTGTGCACCCCTCCCCCGTCAGAAATTCTCTAGATCCGCCCCTAGCTAAATGCAAAACTCTCCCGTAAATTCACTCGCACTTGTAACATCAGAAAATAAAATGAAAATGAATTTAATAATTGAAAATAAAAAGTCATAATTTCTTAGATTTTGTTTTCTTATTCCTAATTTTTGGACATGAGGTCCATCGAACAAATAAGAAAAAACATTTTTTCATGCTACAGAACAATATATACTGTCTCTTATACACATCTAGATGTGTATAAGAGACAGTCTTTGTCACCTGTCAGCTTGTCTCGAATCCGAACATGGTGTTCGACTTCATCAGCGTAACTGATTAAAAAAAATAAAAACAATAGTACTATACAATATTGTACTATTGTAAAATCAAAATCCTAATATATATAACTATGACATATGTGAATTTCATCCATGTAGCTTTCATATTTTTTTGGCACAAAACACTTGACCATTGTCGTAATTGTCCTATACTGTACTTGGCATCTTTTGCCTACTAAAGAGAAATAAGATGAAAATGACTTTAATAATTGAAAATAAAAAGTCATAATTTTTAGATTTTGTTTTTTTATTTCTAATTTTTGGACATGATGTACATCGAACAAATAATAAAAACATTTCCATGCTACAGAACAAAATATCTTTTGCCTACTGGTGGAGTCCGGTGTTAGCGTTTTAGCCAGGCCAGTGTAAACTTTAAAACTGAACCAAATTGCAGTTAAAAAATTTACATGCAAAACCGAGAATTTGCTTTACTGGGAGATGACCGTGTTAAACTCAAGAAAAAAAGACTAGCACGAATCTAGCCTAGTCTAAGCTACATTTTCACTAGACACGATAATGACACAGTAAAAATTTCCTCGGTGTTGAAGAATATAAATGACGCGATGATATGTCGTCGTGTCTAGTGTAAATTTATCTTAATATGCATGAAAATTGTTATATTGATATGCTGAATTTTTAACTATTATTATTATTATTATTATTATTTTATTTTTACGTCTAGAAAACTGGAATGCTGGCTGTTTAATACTGATGATTATGACAATTTCATCATTGATATATCTATACCAGGAAACAGTAACCATAGAATTCATGCTCATTACCACAGTTGCTTTATACAACTTACGTGGGGAGGAAAGAGGATTTAATATTTTTGTCTTATTTTTAATAATATTTATATATTCTACTTACTTTAAATTTTTTTTTGTTGCCGATAATCCATATAATTATTATTATAAGAAATTCATAGAATTTATATTGATAATTGCTATATTTGTATTTATTCATGCATTTCGTATTGGTCTATTAAGTTCGATTACAAGTAAAATTGCAAAATACATTTGTAATTGTACCATTGTCATAATATCTTTGTATTTAATATATCATTTCAGTTTTACTATATTTTATGTTAAGTTATGGCTTATTTATTTTCTAGATATTTGCTATACAACCTATATACTTGATATAGTAGTAGGAATCGATGAGTAGTCCTAATAGATATTTGTTGTTATCTTTATTATTTGTAGTATAATTTCAATTTAATTTACATTTTAATGGATATCCCAACTCTTATATTATGATTATATTTAATTTACTGTGCTTTAAATTTCAATAAGTTTATTTTTACCAAGTATGACTATTTTAGTAGCCTGACACAGCTATGAACTGGGATGTTTATCAGCATTTTAGCCCATACATTGGCCTAGCAGGGACTTTTAAAGGAGAACTAACATGTAAAGAAATCTACTACCCTAACAATAATTTTAAGGATATGGTTTTATACAATTGGTTTCTCTGATATATATCATGTTTAGAAATTTGTATATCAAACTTTCATAAAATATATTTGTTCTGCTATTACTGTTATTGCCTCAATATTTTTGGTTGTGATATCATTTCAATTTCATTCTTGTTGTTTACTGTATTTATGTGTATCCTAACAATTAATTTATTTTATTGAAAAGTATAGATATAATATGTTGGAATAGTCTGTTGAATATAATATTGAAATTTTATTTTTACTAAATCATATATATTATACGTCTGATGAAGTGTAGTTGAAAGCACAAGAAACATCGCAAATATGTTTAATATTATTTGGTTTTATTTTGTTTTGTATAAAAAAATTCCAGATTACAATACTGTAAAATAGATATAATAACCAAATTGACTGATTATAAATGTATTCATCTGGGTAGAAAAAATAAAAACACCAGTTCTTCAATACTATTTTCTCAAACAAATTCACTAAGTATATTTGATTTGTATGAAAAAAAATATGACAAGATTGTTATGTTTCATATCACAGACATAAACTACCAATCAACTTTTACAAATATTTTATGACCAATTAATCTATCTGTAATTATGAAACTAGAAATACTGTAAAGAAATCCTTGTAACTGTAATTAAACACATTATTAAGTAGGCCAACAAAGCACTGCATTTTATGGTATCACCATATGCAGCATAATGAAATTGGTTAATACTTTTAAGCGCTGTGAGACTCCGGTAAAGAGCGCTATATAAATGCTTGAATATTAATATATTCTTATTATTATAAAAAAAAATGTTCACAGGTCAACATTTTTTCCAAAGACATTCTTTTTCTAGGGCCTTTTCACAATGACATAAATGAAAAAGCATTGATGGGGTACCAGCAATGAGTCCAAAGACTTTGCCACTTGCATGATATAATCTATCTCAATTCCAGCAATTCTGAAACTGAGCCTGCCATCCGCTTCAAGCTGGTGGCGCTGTAATCGATTTCCCGTCTCCCACTGAAAAGGTCCAAAAAATTATGATCATGACCCTCCCAGAAAAAGTTCTGGAGATACACCCCTGAATACTGCAATTTCAAACAAGAAACAATAATAATTTTAAACAAGAAAAGCATATGGGCTTTAAAAAATATAGTTCATCATTTTTAACTTGAGAAGTATAATGCAAAATGATTTTTCTTCTATTTGAATGTGGAAATATTTAATTGTATGTTTTTTAAAAACAAATTATGATAGTTGATCATTAATTTACATGTAAATATTTGCATATATATTTTACATTTAAATTATTACACTTATCACTATAAACGTAATTCCAGTATGTTACCTTTCACACATTTAGATAGAGAGATAGTTAAGATAGAAGATCTAAATACACTTGTTGGTAATAATCACTAATGTATAATCTTTTACAATTGTTACTCATATTTTATCACATTATTAATTAGTTTAAATCTGCTGTTCATGTCATGACTGTGTAAATATAATATTAAATTTTATATGCATTGTATACAGTAAGCTTACATTTTTTATTGTTTTTTTTTTATTTTATGTATTACTATTTTTTTTTTTTTACTTATATGTAAAAAAAAACATTGCTAATTTTGATCATGTTATTAACTTATTTGCAGATGCAAAAGCACGCAAAATTCAGTTGTGAGTTAAACAATGTTACAAATTCAGCAACTTACAAGACCATGCGATCAACAGCGTTACAAATTAGGATAATGGTGAAATTGTATACAAAGTTCCGAACATCGTAATGGAGTTTGAGTAGTAAGAAACAGGGGTAGGGCTACCGGGGGTGGGGGATGTTCCAGCCCCTTCGGGGATAGCTCCCCCCCCCCTCCCACCCATAAGCAGTAGGCCCTGTCTCTTATACACATAAAATTATATGTATTTTGTACAACTTAGTAGACTATAAAATCGATTAAATAAGCCTTTGAAACCCCTAAATTGTCAACAATTTCGGGGTTTCGCCCCGAAAACCAGTTTTGAAACCTTTTAATCGAAGCTCGACCACGCTCACGGTAAATGCTAACGCCACCCCGACCCTTGTATAAGAACCTACTCTAGAGAGCTAGAACAGTGCTTATTTTTATAATACAATTATAATTGGGGGAATGAGGGCGCAATTTTCTACTCTCTCTTGCCCAGAGCCATATATATAAAGAGTTGCGACATTCCGCACCTTGGTTTACGAAAGTCGCGTGGTACACACCGTCCATTTTGTTTCATAATCCCGATGAACACATGCAAAGTACAATATATGTGTTACGTACATTGCATATTAATTTCACACACTTGATTGGGTTTACAACTATATTTTATAATTAACATCACTTAGCGTGGACAGCGTATAAGAATTCATATATAATCGAATATTTGCACGCGTGCGTGCTCGCGTAAATGATTGAAATTAAAATTAGAATTGTTTTCAATTATCGTTAATTCGTCACATTTTAATCAATGAAGTACCGACCTATTTAATTTAATGTAATCTTTTCTTTGGTTTTAATTGTTTTTAATATACAGCCATAATACAATATTAAAATAGAGGCGAGACTTTTAATACAATAAAATGTACGTTACATAATTACACAAGTTGAATATATCACAGATCCTGTATATCATTTAACACTTACAATTTATAACATTTACAGCAAAGCACAGTTTATATATTGCGGCCAACTGACCTATACTATTTTAATATTTATAAATAATAATAATAATAATCAAATTAATAACATAAGATTTGTATAGGGCTCGCTCATATTCAAATTTAAAGAGCAACAATCTATATACGCTAGACGGATTTAAATTACATTTTTATACGTATTTAATTAATTTTTTTGCTGGTCGTCACATATCATTTATTTGCAAAAATAATAGGAGCTACTTAAGGATTGCCTAATTAAAGAATGCTTGCCATCGAGGGGCTCTCTTGGTCTATCGGCGAGGATTAAAGAACTGCTTAAAAAATAGTAAATTATTACAGTATTATTTTATAATATGAAATTGGATATAAAGTAGTTAAATCATTAAAAAAAATCTATAAATAGTTACATGAAATTCGACTGCTAATAAGATTAAATGAAATTAAACTATACAGGAGGCCGCTAACTGTATTATACACAGGAACGCACATCACGTTAGACACAGAACGTGCATCGCGTATGACACAAAATGGCTTCTAAATTCTCAATGTCGCAACTCTTTCTATCTATGGCTCTGCTCTTGCCCTGAGCCGTAGATAGAGAGAGTTTGGCCAACTTGGCGCATGGGCGCCATGTTGTCACCAAACAGCGTGCGCGCGTATAGCTTTATAACATTTTATAAAACACTGATGCTGCATAAACTTTCTTTCATTATTCTGTTCATGACGACAATTCAATTATGGGATTTTAACATATCATTGTAAATATCATATACTGTATAATCATATTTACCTAACTTTGGAATTAATTAATCAGTGACGTCTGTATTATTTCGAGAAGATTTTTTTTTTTTCGTTACGATTATCTTTTTGTTTTGAAAGTCTAGGCCTATCTAGTTGCTAGCAGCCTACTCTATATTATAGCATGAGGCTCCTAATAACAACACTGCAGAGGAGAAAGGTTGGTTGTGCAGACAGAGTAGGTTTGTGAATCGTCGGCGATAATATGTTAATTTCGCCTGTAAATGAATGATAAAAATATTAATAACATGAAAGTTTTCTAATTGTATCTAGGCCTCTAGGCCTATGACTTTGTAAACTTTAATTTATGAAATAAAATATGCTGGTCATCTTCAAACCAACAAATAGCCTAGGCCTATTTATTTGTAAATTGTAATCTAAACAATCAAAGTTGAATAATTATTGCATTGAGAGAAAATTTTGTACAACATATGCCTAATCATTCATAATCAAGAAGCTATGCTTTGTAAGTAGAATAGCAGCATTCTCCACACTTCTGTTTATAATATTAGTGAGTTATAATACTATCATTATTACTGTATTATTATTTATTATTATTATTACTATTTATTATTTATTAATTTATTATTCATTATTTACTATTCATTGAAATTTTGATTTGTAATTTGTAAAACATTTAAACGTTTTGATTTAAAATATGTATTAAAACAATATATTATAATACAATTAGGCCTATATTTTTAAAATATATTTTTATCTTTAAAAACCTCTAGCTACTGTGCTGAAGTATGTGCGAGGTGTTGTATACTATTGCGATCATATATGGGTTGCAGAGGTGAAGTCAGCTCTTGGCTGATTGGGTGAGGGGTTGGTAACTCTGACAGGGGTTGTACCCCGACAGGGAGACCAATCTCCGACAGGGGACCTCTCGACAGGGAAACTTTATACTTGCATGTTTTTCTATCAAATTCATTTTAAATAAAGAATTCCATAATTAACACACAATTTTATTATTTTTTAATAAAAGGAATTCTCCGACAAATTAATTTTTTTCCCGACCGGGGGGGGGGGGGGTGGGGTAGGGTGCCGACCGGGGGGGGGGGGGGTGTGCTAGGGTGTGGACCCCTCTTGTCGAGGAGTTCGGAAATTCCTGGCACCGCCCCTGATTTTCACACTGAGGGGCTGCGGTAGATTATGGCACCCTTTAGATTGGTCGGAAATGGCCCTCTCAGACTTATATTCAAATATAATTTTCTTTTTGGGCCCCTTGAATCCGCCACTGTCAATATCTAAAGCAGCAGTGTACGGTGATTTCGGAATCTCAAGAACGTCTAAGCAGTAGGCCTATGCTTATTTGCCCTAAAATCATTCCAAAAAAATATAAAACCTTTAAAGTATCGAGAGATTTCCAATATTCAGTGCAATCTTTGTGGCGGTAACCCTAGATTCCAATCCAAATGGGCCCTTCCTTGACAAGATCTAGCCCTACAACAGAGCCTTGACATTACGGTCAAGGGTAGCGCCAAGTTTTGCCCGACAAGGGGTCAGATTTCCCCCGACGAAAGCCCAACTTGTAAGAAAATGGGTCCACATTATTTGAATTTACGCGTAAGTGGGTCCACCCTTTTATTGTCCCGCAACGTTTGAAAATCCTGGCTACGGTATTGATTACGGTCCAATTACAGATGAACGCAAATAATACTAAACAATTCAAATTATATTTTGAATAGCTCATTTAAAATGATTTACAGATATTGTTCTACAAAAATCCTTAAATTGTTGAGGCCTACCAGCCGTTTTAAGTTTCGTCTGTATGTAAAGGAATATGTCAGGAAAATTATTATTTAGGTCTATTGTCCGAAAATTGACAAGAATTGTTTTTAAATTCTTAGTTTTACATTAAAACTTACTTAAACATACAAATTAAGCAAATGTGGAATTCAAATAATTTTTAGAACACCAAAAGTAACACATTTCTCGGTTTTAAGTCGAAAATGCCTTGTAGTCCCACGACAATAATACAATATCATGTTTCATAGCAGGCCCCACTAAACTGAAATTTATAATTTGTTAACAAATTGATGAGGTAAATGGCTACTAAAATGTAGGCCTACAGGAAAGTTTGCATCAATGAGATATCAACCAACGTCAAATTATAGAAAGATAAAAGCTGGTATTGTTGACATTATTAATAAACATTGTATTTTCAGACTGTTATTGACACTAATACAATATACCGTAAATTAACCTCGGATAGAAGCCCATCTCGAATAATAGCCCTTCTAGGTGCTCAGAAATTTCACTCTCCGATGATATTTAAAAATACTTTTTCCTCTACAAAAATTGACTTCTTCCCGGTGGGACTATACTCCCCTTCCTTTGACAACCTCCCCACGGGCGTCGCAAAGGTCTACTCAAGGATCTGTAACTGGGAGTCGCAAATATAGTTTCCTCAGATAACGTAGTTTCCTCAGATAACGTAGTTCCCAGGGGCGTCCTGCTTCCTACGATCTAGTGATGGATCGCGCCCCACGCATCTGGCTTTGCACGCGCTTCCTGCTCTGCACACTACGCGCGTTAGCCTACAAACTTTATTTTCGGGGAATCCCCGAACCCCGTGGTTTTAGAACTAATAAATTGGTTAGTAATCAAATTAAATAACATGTTGGTATGACTGTACATGACTCTACGACTCACACTAACAACAGTGAATACTGTATCAGCATTAACAAGTTATTTGTGTATTATGCAAGATAACCCGAATGATGACAGTGTCTAAGAAAACCTACGATTTGCTGTTTAGACTTATACTCGTTGGAGACTCTTGTGTAGGAAAGTCGTCCATCTTGTTAAGGTTTTCAGAAGACATCTTTCCTACGTTTATATCAACGATAGGTAGGTTTTGATCGAATCATGGACCTATCGAATATAGGGTCACGGGTGTAGAGTAGGCCATAGCTGAGAATAGAACCCAAAGTAAAGGGACTCGATGACACCGCACAGAACAGTAAGCAACACAGCTCTCTGCTAGGCCTAGTGAACTTTCAGCTTGTATTGTATGTACTGTATGATGGAAGCAACTTGGTTGTAAGTAAGCCATCATTACGGCGCTATAGTGTAATTGCACTGCTCTACTCAGAAGTGGCATATCTGCCGGATTGCGTGGGAGAGTATGCCCCTTCAAAAACCTGTCCGAAAATTTGCTGGGGGGTCGGGGCGTGGGGGAGAAGGGCTCTCCACTTTGACTGGCCCTTCTATACTAAGCAGCAGCTCTTCAAGTAAAACGGAGCCCATTGGTATATCTAAGAGTCTTCAAGTGGGGTTGTATGAGCGCGAAGGTAGGTGAAGTGGGGGATCGATGATCATAATGGGGGTGGGGGTGCTAACTCATAAAATAAGGTGACTGTAGGCATTTTTAACAACTAGATCCCTGATTAAATATCCTGGGAAATTTGTTGGCGCTTTATTTTGACTACCGTATATAATGGTGATTTGATGATGAATTTTACTATATAAAGTGTCATTTCTAGCCATCTAGGGGTACTTTTTTCTTAACTGTTCTCGCCTCAGCCCTAACCATGGTGGGGCTGAGGTGGTTGTGAAATCACAGTTTTGAAGTATATAAAGTACATACAGTAGTCAAAGACAATGTTTTTAAGCTTTGTTTCTATGGTATATCCCACATATTATCAACAAGATGGTTGCTGAAAATCCCTGAAAACAGATCATGTTTTTTTTTTTTTTTTTTTTTTTTGGGGGCTTCATTTTTACTAATGGTGATGTGATGATGATAAATTTTACTTAAAGTGTCATTTCTGAGAGGTGCTATTTTCTCAAATTTTGCACCTCAGCCCCAACCATGGTGGGTCTGGGGTGGGTTTCGACTCGCAAATTGTCCTCCCCCTCCACCTTTCTAAACAGATTTGCGCCCTTCCCTGGGTATGACATTAAACCCCATCGAGTCAGCACCTAACTCAGAGTATGTCTTAGTGCTCCGTTCCGTAACCTTTTTAGCCCACAACCCAAACTATATGTCAAGCACTCTGGCGTGACCCATCAAACTGGAAGTCAATTGTTCGTTGTTTTATACGCACACAAGGGATAGCGAGAAGAACCATCCACTTTATTCTTTTGTAAATTTATTCTTTTTGTGAACTGATTAAAAAATCACTATGTAAAACCCACAAAAACGAAAATATAACTTTGAAATACTCATTTAACAAAATCACGTAAGTTATCAAATTTTAAATAAGTTAAACATTTTAAAAAATTAATGATTAACAGATATTTTATTATGAATTCTTAATGCTGCCAGAGATTTATGTGTTATGTCAATGTTTTCCAATTATAATTTGCAGCTGAAAGCCTAACACATTGAAATAAATAAAACTAGTACTTTAAAGTTGTCATACTTGAAGTACAAATGTTTTGATAGTATATTTATAGTATATCTGTGATAGGTAGTATATCTGTGATAACGAACACATAACAAAAGTAAACTGACGCACATTGCACACTTCAATTGCACTTTCGTTCACTGTAATTCAATTTTGCCTTTTTTCGTTAGTGCTAAGTAAAGTTTTCACGATCTGAAGAGATTATGCGACCCATCAATTTTTTTTCGCAACCCAAACACGAGCAACCAAAGGCGAGGGTGCATAAATGTGTTTTTAGAATGTGATCTGGGTTTTTTTATGCCCATTTTTGGTGATTGTTTTTTTGGATACAAAATGTTTTGAGCAGTGACAGATTCAAGTACCCCCTCCCCCCTAAATTTTCTTAATGGAAAAAAAAAAAAGAAAAGTATACAAATTTAAGTCTCAGAGTGTAATTTCCCAACCATGGTGGGGCTGATGTGGGTGGTTTCTCAGTCTGTGAAAGTCCCTCCCTGGGTCACCCTCTCTTTTATATTTCTGGATCTGACACTGTTAATTTATTATATAACTATTGTTAGGCTTACTAATATTTTTTATGATGCGTCTATTGCAATTTTCACTTTATCTTCTCAAAACAGTCCTAAAAACGTTCAGAGTGCGCTACTTCACAGGGGGATTCTCCCCCACCGGAGTCATACATACCTCGCATAACGGCTCCCCCCTCCTTTCAAAATCCTGGCTACGTCTCTGATTTCATCAATATTAATTCTCGACACAGAATTTTTCATAGCCGATCTCCACTACACACTGTAATATTTTAAATAATTTACAGAAAATTTGAATCAAAATTATACTGTACTGTTAACAGGCTACAATATTGTTTGGTATTCTACTGTGAAGGGGACCCCCTCAGGCACTTTCCTGACACCCATAATCAATTACAAAAATGCATGGGCCCAACACTTTCCCCCCCCCCCCCCATGTGACTCATTATGCCAGAACTAGATATTTTTCAGTTGCTCTTGATTACAAGAGTGCTTCAATGTCTAACAGTTTCAAGTTGAGTTGCAAGGGTGAACATACTGTAAGTTTAAAAAAGTGTTTTTTGTTTTTTTTTTTCATTTTTGCTCATCTTTGTCTTTTTGTTGAACATGGCAACAGATAATCAATGATCCAAGACACTGTCGGGTTCATTTGTGAGTTTGCAATTAGGTTGAATTGCGGATTTAAATTACTCAAGGGTTGGAAGGGAAGCTAGAGAGATTGATTGGGATAGCTCGTTCTAATTGATTATTGTCCAAAAGTAGGTAAAAAAGAATACTTGTGTTGAGCATGCATGTGCAAAATGAAAGGCCTTGAGATCTACATTTCCCTCCATTGTATTCTCAATTCTATATTTTGTGTATTAAGAATTATAATCAGCTTTCTTTATTGCCTGCAATGTGAGATGAGTGTTTTGAGACTAATGCTGTTTTTGTTGCTTATTACACAGGTGTAGATTTTAAAGTCAAAACAGTGGAGGTGAATGGAAAGAAGATTAAATTACAAATATGGGACACAGCAGGTGGGGAAAGGTTCCACACAATTGTTCATACTTATTACAGAGGCAAAAATGGGATTATGCTGGTTTATGACATCACAGATGAGAAGACATTTGAGCACATTACTGGCAATTGGCTAAGGAATGTTCTGGAAGTTAGTTATTTTAATTATTGCTTGTTTTTAGTTGCTTAGCTACTAATTATATTTTGCCACAGTTACTGTTACCTTTCTTGCTAGAAGTGGTTGGCACATCGGTTGTGGCTTAGACTCCCAACCTTGAGGTCGGGATTTCAAAACTCTTGCTGTGCATGTCGCTTGTGTCCTTGGGCAAGGCACTTTATCTATGGTTGTCTCTCTCCACCCAGGAGTACAAGTGGGTACCTGGTAGGTTCAAACACAGCCTACGCTGAATACAGCTGCAACATTATGGAATTCCCCCATGGGGCTCGAGTGTGTGTTCCATATGTGCTTGATCCAGTGATCCGGGGGTAATAATGTAAGCGCATAGAGGTCCCTACAATATGCGCTACATAAGTCGACAATTATTATTACTAGTTTTTTTTTGTGACAGTAGTTCTACAATGGTATTGTTTTTGCCACTACTACCAATGGCATTGTTTTTTCCCCTAGTTGTTGGTAGTAGCGTTTTGCCATTTGTCGCTACTGCCAATTGTATTGATCTGCCACTAGTTGCTGCTACTAATACCAATTGGTATTTTCATTGCAACCAGTTGCTGCTATTGTTTTTCTTGACATAATTATCGAATCTGGTTGCCACAATTGCTTGTCCCTTACTAATTTAGTAGTTTATTGGTTACAATTGTTGCATTGCTCCACGAAATAATTCAATTGTGTTTAATATTTGATTAAATTTAATAGCATGCAAATGAAGATGTCATATTGATGTTGCTTGGAAACAAATGCGACCTGGATGACCAACGGATGGTGAGCAAGGAGAGGGGAGAATCGGTAAGTACCACTAAAAAATATATAATAACAAGAATTTAATATAAGATCATGCAGACACCAAATAGACTAAGAGTAGCCATAGTGATTCAATATTTGGTTCTTTATTTGAACATCATCAGGAATGAGCAAGGTGGTGATGTTTGAATAAAGAACGAAGTATTGAATCACTATGGCTTCTCTTAGTCCTTTTGGAGTCTGCATGATGTTATATGGACCACTTGGTAATTAGAATTTGTTGTGGTATTTGGAAATCATCGTCAGTGAGTCAGGATTTTGTTTCTAATTAACTTTCTAGGCCTAATTCTGTGGTTCAGTGCTTAACATTGCTTTCTCCATGAATTTTGTGTATGCATCAGTAGTCCCAAGTTGGAAGAATTCACTTCCGGGAGATCTGGTTAAATGATTCCTTTTTATGTGCATGGTAATACTATACTTCTGTGAGACAAACGATAATAAAGTAGTAAAAACATGCAGATAATTATACTATATATGAATTTGCAGGGGATTGGTTATTTTCCGGAAGGACTTGCGTGCATGCTGGCGTGCAGGAGGTTGTCCCGATTTCCTGGTAATTCCTGTCATTAGACTTGAGACGACTCTAGAGACTTGAGACCCCTAATGTATGGCCATAGATAGAGATTGGAATTTTTTTATTTTTTTTTATTTTGTAGTTTGCACAAGAGAATGGCCTTAAGTTTCTTGAGACAAGTGCAAAGACAAACATCAATGTAGAGACTGCTGTCATGACATTGGTGGAAGACATTCTTGAAAAAGTAAGTGGACCAGTAGGCAGATTTCAAGTGGAAGGGGAACTAACCTTTACCTGTTTTTATTTTTTTACTCTGCTAGGATTATATGTCTCCTTCATGCTCCAGCGTATTTAGTTATTTTCGCATACCCTTCTTCGTCTCCTACTTATTTTTCAAAGTATGAAAATTAAAGTTGATTATTATTTCTCCTGAAAATTATTTATTTTTAATCTATGTTATACATATATCCATTTGAATATTAACAATCCATTTTTGATTATATTATTTCTTTCAGTATCCAGAGTCTGGCCAAGCATCAAACAATGTTGACCCCGCCAAAAACAAGAATATTGAAAAGAGTATATGTTTTTGTTAAAGATGCACTATCTTCTAGACACAATTTGGGGTGGTGGGGGGGAAATCAAAATTTAAATTTTGAATAGATCATTTAAATGGATAAAAATTGTCGGTGTGGATCCAGAGATGTCCAAAGAGAGGCGATCAAGAGACAACAAATACCCTAGGAGGTCCAGGCATTCCCCATCAACATTTTTGTTTCTAGACGCCCGGATATAACCTCTGAGGCATTTTGGGCTAACAATAATATCTTTTTCTTTCTTTCTTTTTCTACTTATTTTTTACTTTCCAAAGGAGGTGGGGTTGGGGGCACTCCCAAAAGTGCCCTTTTATGTTATTAACTTCCAACCAGAAACAGATTAATAAATTTAGTTTTCACTAATTTACAAGCATACTAGAAAATTTTTTAAAAGTTAACCTGCTAATTTAAGGGTCTATACAAAAGAAGGGAAGAAATGTATTATTTAATAACTGTCTGTTAATTGATGGGGAATTTTTTTTCCTTATTCAAATATAAGTTAACTCGCATATATATATATCTGTCTCTTATACACATCTAGATGTCATGCTGGTCCAGAGATCTTGTTGACCTAGAGAATATTCCAGACATATTATAATATGTATTCCCCAAAGGTTCCTATTCAAAGCAGTGTAAACAATCCAAGATAAACAGAATGCAGGCCCAGACAGTATGCCACTATATGATAAACTTTGCATTGTATTGATTGAGAATGTTTATATAGGGCCCTAGAAGACAATGGTGGTGTCAGTATTTTCTTACAGGAGGTCACGAATAGGGGGTGAGAGGCATGTCTCTGATGAGAAGGCCAATTTCTCCGACGATAGCACAATTGGGTGAACTTTATTGTCATTCGTTAAAGTGGTTTATATTTTAACATTATGTAACAATTTTGTTTTACTTTGACCAAATGGTTTGTAGGCCTATTTTTGGATTATCTATAATCTGTAATTTCGTTTTACTTATGTGACTTTGAAGAACCCTATAAAAAAACTACTTATAATTGACAATAAATAATACCTGAAACTCTATATTCTATAAACGCCGAGCCGAGTATATTTTGTTATACCTGTAGTTTCTTTATTCATATAGACCTAGCAGTCATGTATGCATAGACTACAGTAGGCCCTTTTCATACAGAAAGCAATGTTACATTTTTCCCCATTAATTTTTCCAATACTTTGTTTCTAGCAAGAAGAATGAAGTTAGATAATGTAGGCTATCAAAGTGCAAAATATTCGTTGCCATATAATTCAGTAGCGAAACACCTGCTGGTCTAAAGGGGGCCCTCCTATTAATAGACATCACTCTTCAATTTTGTTCCTGGACTAACATTATGGTCCAGGAAACAATTTATTATCACGTTTTTAACTCTTGAACCTCTAAAGTGGAATCGCAACAACACGATATACAACAACACTTCCCGATCTAAAATGTTGCACAGCGGGCCATGCACCACCACAAACTGAATATTTTTAAATTTAAAAGTACTCTACTCGGACAAAGTGAATTAAAGGGCTACCAGAGTTTACATAGAATTCAAATTCAATTATATTACTATAACAGGTTACGGTATTGTTTGATATTACAATGTAAAAATTACCCTTGACTACTAAAATGCATGGCCCCAAAACCTTTTTCATAACAATAAATAACAATATAGTTTCTTATGCCTCTGTATATACAAATTTAATGTTGCCAGGACATGAGTCAAGGGTAGAAATTTTTAAAAAAAGCATTTTATTATGTTTCAATATACAAATGATAATGCAAGTTATTACTTTATTTTATTTTATTTCATTGTCACCCAACAGTGACAATAGTCACCAATTACAGGTTTGAATAACAAAAAGAAGCATATATATAATATAATACAATAAAATTTTCACAAACATTTTCTTAAACGTGTCAAACAAAACAAGTTTTAATTAGGAACATTGAAACATGCGAGTGGCAAAAACATATCCTTAAGAAAACAGACTTATAAAAAAAAAACACACACAAAAACAAACCTCTGTAATGGCAAGGTTTTTAAAAATTAATTTCGTGTAAGGGCCTTGCAGGCTAAGCATTCTGTTACTTACCGGTATATTACAATCGAATCAAACTTACTATTATCCGATGGGGAGAATTATAGTTTGAAATCGTCTCCAAATACTGTAGTAAACGTCCTCTTGAAAGGGACGTATCGCGACGTGAGGCAAAATAAGAAAAGTCTAAGAAACTAACTACTAAGAACATTTTTTTTCGGCATTGAGCATTGAATAGGCCTAGGCCCATGTGTTCAATAGGCTTTGGCTCTACTAAGCGATATCATATTTTTTTTGAAGAGGATATTACGATTATTAACTTGAAGATTCCGCCCCATCGGTGGCGAAGTTAGTGGGGTGGGGAAAGGGAAATCTCCCTCCGTCGCACAGTGGGCCAGGGCGAAATCAAAGTGTGCCAAAAGTCCATTTTGGTGACTATGGCTTTTACACTTTTTTTCACATGATTGAAGATGGGTATACCCTGGTGAATCTATCCTGAAAATATTTTACATTTAAACGAATTTTAAGGGTAGTATTTTTCAACAAATGTCGGAAATTTCTCTATAAATATTTCAAATGCAAAAATTGACTACATTATATCAAAACACGGTTTTTTTTTTCTTACTGAAAATTCGGAATTACTTCAAAATTTACACGTTTCTTGTATATAAATTGGGGCACACAAATATATATTTTAGTTTAAATTTGAAGTTTGCATCAATAATAAATCGTTGTTTAAACGACAGAAAAAATATTTAAAAATCTATTTTTAGGAAAGTAGGAGAGAAAGTTTAGATTCATATGGATTCATGCTCTAATTTTTACATCACCATCTTCAGTATAGCCTTAGCTTTATGATGGTACCAAATTTTGCTGCTACTTTTTGCAACTTTTCGAGCTAGACGCACTTTTATTAGTCTTGTTTTCGTACATTTGAGACATAAATTAATTAGAACAAACCGCAAATAGAGGGATGTACGCGAATCTACTCAACCAGTTCATGCAAAGCGTGGGACTCTCCAAAATTTACAAACTGCTCGTGATTTAACAGTAGCAAATCTTCTAATATTGTGTTGCCGTTTAGAATACTTCTTTAAATTTTGAGCAGCCTAATAATCCAAATATCATATATCATAATGAAGGTGATATCTATAAGCAGGCCTATATCTAGGCGTCAATTGTTTTTAACTTTATTCAAAGACATCCAAGATTTTGAAAAGCTTCCTGTTTCAACTTAAGGAGAGGTGAGCTACTACGCGAGTAGTAACGACCTTCCCAGCAAACAATAATACGTTATGATAACGTGACAATAACGTTACAGTTTTGTGTTGAAAACTTATTTGTTAGAACCATAAATACGTGCTGAACATAATTTCACAACGTTTGCACGTTCCTACAACGTTGTTTAAACGTTATTTTGTGACATAGGCCTACCTAATAACCACAACATTGGCCAAGAAAGTTATAGTGAACGTAAACACCTGTTTGCCGGGTTTCTCAGAAAGAAAATAACTCGTTGCTTGACAACAGGATTCCATTTTCTGATGAAGTTATTAATGTTTTGACACAGAACAGAGATATTCTTTCCACACCAGCAGAAAACTCACAAGAGACTTAAAAACAACCCAAACCGGGACGTCCTATCGAAGTATGGGAGGATCTTTCCAGAGAGTTCGCAAAAAGGTAAAGTACAAGAAATGTTGACATAAAATGTACGCACTGAACTTCTTTATGCAGCATTGCAAGGGGCGTTCAAGAAAAATCGATTTTAAAGTCCATTAATATGTAGAAAATACATACACATTTTATTTCTCTGACGAATTGTAGTTTATCTCCCAACGCCGGGGGGTGGGGAGCTCTCCTCGACGGGGACCCTGCCCCTTCCCCTCCCCCTGCTGGCGTCACCCCTGAGGCGCAAACCGGAATCTTCACGACAGATGAAACATTGTCCATCTTTGTAGCTCTATAGTAAAATGAGACGCCTCCTTACACCAAAATAAGAGTAGCAACAACAAAGCATTGCTATCCTGGTGGTACAGTCCTGTCAAAGACGATAGCAAAAGTTCCTCTTCAAAGCCTCCTCGTTCACACTGAGAATTATCAAAAAAACATAAAACGACCGTTATCGATACTTTTACAATATAGGCCTAATATGATTGAGGACGGAATTAATTGGTGTAGGCCTAATTTCTGATAATTCCATGGAATCTCAAATGCAAACACATTTTAAATTTTAAAAATGTAAAATTAGGTTGTCTGGTATTATTATAAATTTTGATTTCGATTTCGATTTATTAAAAAAAAAAATCTATATTCACTGTAAGATTAACAATAGAAATGTTAATTTTGGCCTATGCCTAAAACACTTTTGGCCCTGTCCAATCAGAAAATGTATTTTGATAATGTCATGGAAAATACAAAAACGTTTCCCACAGAAGTTCTTTTGTCCCAAACCTCCTTAAACATTTAAAAAATCATTGCAATATGAACTTTTTTTTTGATATTACAATGAAAACTGACGTCGTGCAATCAGAAAACAGTACAAAAATGACGTCATATAGATTTGAAAATGCTTTTATGAATTCTACGGGTATGAAAACCTCTAGATACGTCTTGTATTCGCTTAGATTTGCTTCTGTAAAGAGTAATTAATTTTGGCACACTTTGACTTCAGTCTGGCCCATTGTGCGTCCCCGTCGTCAGATGTCGCGCCGGACCAAATACACCTATCAATTAGCCTATACAAATCATACTATTGTGGTCTAAAGCATTTTATTTTGTGCCATATTGATCCATAAAAACTTTCCCATGAATTCTACCAGGGATTTTTATTCCGGGACCCTGACCAAGGCTAGTCGGCCCCTTTATTCGGACCCCGTGATTTTCGGACCGTCAGACCCCCTGTCGGCAATTTTCTGGAGTCACCACTGCCCATTGGTGGGTCTGTGGAGGGGTCATGGGGTCTGACCCCTCTTGGGCAAAAAAAAAAAGAAAAAAAGAAAACATTTCTAGACCTAGGCCTACCTTTTCAGGACCAGTGAGCTGAAAATTTTGTTGTTATTATGGGCAAATTAGAAGTCGAGATTCAGTGAACCGTTTCAAGAGAGGAAAACCCTAGTCAGAAATCGGGAAATCTCATTTCCCGCCATCTAGGAATCAAAGTTTTCCTGACCCTCTGTTCTCTTTGGGGTTCATCCATTCATGACTGACTCAAAGATGCCCTTATATCAAATACAAACAAACACAGTAACACGAGTAAAATACAGAAAGCATAGGCCTAAATAAAAAATAGATTCTTGATAAAATTTATATTATTGTAAAATAAACCAATACAATAAAAAAGTCAATAAAATTATAAAAAAAATGTCAATAGGCCTGTATGTATAAAAAATCAATCATTTAGCTATAGCCTTTAAGCGCTTTTTAGTTTATTTTTAAAAGAGAAAGTGTATTGCTGTTCCGTAAATCATATGGAAATTGGAAA